CAATAAAAAGGAGATTGTGAGGGAAACCATGAGACTGGTTCTGCAGCAGAGACCACACACTGGCCCCGAGCGGTGACTGCTGGCTTCCTGTACCGTGGACGTCCCTCCTAGGGCTGCGTTGAATCCCCAGCGCAAAATGGAAAAGAATCTCTCGTTCAAAATCTGTGACTTTGAAGATGACAATAACAGGTGAATGAAAGTAAATGTTGTCGTCCAAAAGGGCATTTATTTGCTAACACAACAATGAGGTAACGAAAGAATGAGGTAATACTAGCATTCTGTGAGACTCTTCTGGAAGATAAGGTCTGCTGATCTTCCCCATTGAAAGCTTAGACAGGAGGTTGACCTTCCTCCTACTTGGACCACAGCAGTGGGATAGAGAGACAAATCAGTGGTTAAGGGCACTTACTGCTCTTCTAGAAGACCTAAGTTTGCTCCCAGCATCTACATCCGGCAGCTCTCAACTCCCCGGGGGATCCAGCACCGGCTTCTGGCCTCTCTGGGCACACAAATACACACAGATAAAAATGCTTATTTTTGCAATTGGGGCAAAACACATGGAGTGGAAACTATACAGCTGTGGAAACCGGGGTCTGTAGCTCAGCTACTCTGGGACAGACACGATCCTAAGAACATGTTCCAGGACGTGGGGAGTCTCCTGGTACGTAAGAAGCCACTCCTCAGAGGCAGCACCAGACTTCGAAGTCTCTGCTTTAACCTTAGACTTCCAGGCCTCAGAGCTGGGAGGCCTGAGTCCCCACTGTTTGTAAACCATTTGCTGTGTCCAGTTCTCCACAACCACAACAAACAACTGAACTACCCTTTCTACATCAGTTTATGCCACATGTGGCTTTCGAGCCTTGGAACCGAACTATCCCACCACCTTAATGGTTTCTTTCCACACCTACTGAAGCCTGTTACATTATCCTTTTGGTTTTTAATCCAGATCACACCTTAATCCAGGTTTTGTCTTGTGTCTGGAGGTATGTCAAAGACTGAGTTTTGCTGGAAGGTCTGACAGGATTGTGAACAACTCTTAAGTTTATTTGTGGTTCAGCAATCCTGGTGGCTCAGAGCAAATGTAGGAGTCATGTTTGATTCAGAAGGGGGAAAAAAAACCCTACAAATCATATATCTGTACGGGTCTGACTCAGTGCAGACACATTTATTTAGAGATTATCAATTTTACAAATACTGTGGGTCCTTATTACGAGTTCAGCTGTTCAGACATGCCTAAGGCACACCACCCTGCAGGTTAATACCACGGTGGATTTTCAAAACAGTTGATGCACTTCAAGAATGGAGCCTTAGCCTTATAAGGGAAGCAGCTGTGTAGGGTGATGGTGGAATGGACAGCATAGCTCTGAGGCCAGGGGTGTGGCCCAGTCCTGCAGGAAAACTGCCCAATGACCCTGAGTGGGGGGAGTCACACCTCCTTCTGCCTCAGTTTCCTCCTCTCTAACTATGAACATGGACCTTATTTACTGGCTCTGAAGAGTTTTCAAGCTTCGAAATTCAGACTTAACTCCAGGGCTCTCTAACTACCAAAGCCAAGAAAATCAAAGAAACCAAGACTTCTCTTGACAGCAATGGTCTTGACCTTTCTGGTTGTGAGGGAGGGCTGGGCCTTCAGACATTAAGGGTAAGCCTGGCAGGCAGAGACAAGCCTACCCAGGCAGGGAAATGGCTGATGGTATTCTTACTTTTATTTCATTGTGTGATCACCTTTATTCTGTGCTCTGGAGAAAAAGGTGCAAAGGACCGGGCTGGACACCAGACTGGAGACCTAAAGACTCTTGCCCCAGGGGCCGCAGCTGGATAGCCAGCAGGAGGGTGAGCTACGATGATCTCAGGCAATGTGGCCCAACAGCTGCCCTGAGAGGTTAGGAGAGCAGGGTCCATGCAAGGAGTCTGTCTTCATGCCTAGGGCCCTGAGGGACACAGGAGGCCTCAGGCCAGCAGAGAACATGTTAGAGAGACCGTGGGAAAGGGGTTTTTCCCAAGGATTGTCCATATTGGATTGTCCATTAGGGAAGACCTAAGGCCTTGGCAGGCATTGGGATCCCTTAGGTGGGAACTGGGAGGCTACCAGCTTCTACCTCATACAGATTCCTGGGCCCCGTGCAGTCCGACAGACTGGAAAGAGAGGACTGGTTTGGAAAGGTGTGGGGTTAGAAAGTCTGCCTTTTCTGTACTTTGACCCCAAACACCAGTGGGATTTGAGAATCAATAGACTGCTAACTACTCCCTGACACATTCCAGGCCATACTCAAATTGGGGTAATTCTACCTTCCCACGCACTCCAGGCCCTTACTTGCCTCTGCTTTCCCATCCTCTGGGGTCAAAGGGAACTCTGTGTGCAATCCTCACAATCCAACCTCAAGGGGCAGAAACTCAAGCCCCTGTCCCTTTTGTCCTCTCCACCTCACACTGTGTTTGCTGAGCGAATATTGTACACCTCAGACTAAATGTTTAACTTGGAACTGGGACCCCGCCCTCCCACCCCGAAGATGGAGCCATTGAGCCAGATCACAAGGTAAACACAAGGCAGCTCTTCAGGAGGCTGCCCTGCACAGTTTCTGAAAAGGATGACTTCGTGGGTTAATCATTGTTTCATAATTATGCCCAGATCCTAAAGAACTGCATTTCACTCTCTAGGTAAGTCATATGCTCTTTCATATTGTCTCCCCTTCTGTTCAGGGAAGAGTTACATTTGTCCCCACACTGCCCCCGCCCCCACAGTCCACCTGCTCGCTCCTCGCTCCTTGACAACTCCCCAACTCCCCAACTCCCCACCAGCGAGCCTTCCCAGCCTCCATTTCCTCCTAACACCATTGACTTTTGATCTCAGAGCAGAAGGAGTGTGCTTTTATTAGATTCAATTTGCAGGAAGGCCCCAGCTTGCCTGTGAATCGAGCCATAATAGTCAATGAATAATCACAGGGCTCAGCCAGCCTGGGCTTAAACTCTGCTCAGACCTAGGAAACCACCCAAGAAGAGGAAGGGGGGGGGGAAACAAACAAAAAAGGTAAATGTGTATCTGTTAAGTTCCTGAGTATGTAACTGGTCAGGGCTAAGGTAGGCCAACCACCAAGCAGAGGCTGGCCTAGAAGATGCTTGGGGTCCCCTCTTCCAGAGGGCCAGGCAGAACACAAAGGTGCCTGCAGTCTCTGAGACCTTGCTGGTCTGCCATGTGTGCTTCTAGCTGCTGTTGTTTTACATTAGGCATACTCGGACCTGGCAGGATTGGGGTAGCTTTCCTGAATGCCTTCCTTCCTCTTCATATATATGACAGTCCCCCCCCCACCAAAGATTTTCCTAAAATGCTCATAAGGGAGAACTTAGAAAAACTTGTCATTCAGGTATTTTGAACCCATCTCTACCAAGTTCTCAGCCCTGCTGATAAATCCTGTTATAGGTTTGCTTCAAACCTATAACAAAGTTATAATCTAAGTTTAATGATATGGGTGCATGACACTCGGGTACTAACTCCCTTTGTAGCTCTCTGCTCAGTATTACCAAGCACTACCCTCCAGCTGCCTGAGCAGCCCTGAAAGGTATGGTATCTTGGCTCAAGAAGGCTTTTGTGGATCAAAGAAGTCCTTAAGTGGCCATGTCTCTGGAGCAGAGTGATGGAAGCAAGCAGTCCTGTTTGGGGTACCTGAGCTTCAAGAGATCACTATGTGTGTACCAGGCTTCTCTGACACATGGTCAAGGCATGGGAATAGATGCAGGGAGAGAGGGCCAACGGCACACTCCTTCAGACAAGTCAGTACCTTCTGCTATGTTTTTTTTTTTTAAGTTAGCATATGCGGCTCCGTGTCTCCATGGTAACGGAACAGGGAATCTGTCTTCTATTTATGGAGCTCCTCCTTGACCTGGGTTCTCTGGTCCAGACCTGAATACACACTGAGAAGCCACGAGGAAATATCAATTCCCTCTGGACCTGGCTGTTTTAGCTTAGTAGATTGGGCCTTGACTCCTGCAAAGGTGATACACTAGAGAGAAGTATCAAGTGAAATAGTATCTTGATTGGCAATAATTTCAGGTGGGGAGTTGCCATAGAAACCAGGAACCCTGAGTACCAGGGAAGCTGGGGCCTTCCACTCCTTTCCCAGCAAGGCTGTCCTTGTAATGTACCAATCGTCAGTCCCGTGGCCTTGCCAAAGCTTGCCATTTGCAATTTCATACGCATCTCTGGTATCAACCTAAACTTGAGAAGGAACGCAATAATATCCAACGTACTCCTGTGCCTATGGACCAATTACACAGGTTTCCAAACATGGACGGGGCGCCTTCTGACCAAAAGCGAAACCACCCTCTGGCTGGTGTTTTGACCAAGAGTTTGGGAGAGTCACGCTGGACTTGGCATGTAGTTGACCTGGTAGACCATGTTAAGTAGAACACCAGAGCCTTGATGGACTAGTAAGACTAATAATAGCGCTTAAGTGCTAGGCCAAGTCGGCGCTGAGACTCGGCTCAGCCCTAGGGGGCGCCATCCGAACCGAGGCAGTAGGAGGGGCCTCCCCAGAGTCAAGCGGCTGCGCCACGTTCTGCTCTTCCACTCCCGACTCCGCCACCCGCTCAATGTGCGCCTCCCTAACCCCACGTAAGAGTCTTTTCCCGACGGAAGGACCAGAAATCAGGACCCACACGTAGCTCCAAGCACAGGGCCGTCTCCACCGCAGAAGCCTAACCATCCAACCCAAGTGCCACTAGGGCCCCCAGCTCGGACCTGCAGACAGCCGTGCGCCGGGAAAGCGGGCGGACACGGCCCTGCCCTGCTAGCTAGACCTCCTGGGCACAAGGACCGAGTCGAACCCCAGGAGCAGAGACTAACAGGCAGGCGACAACGGGCTGCAGGGGCGCAGGGAAGGGCCCGGGAGCAGCTTGGATCCGCGGCTGCCGGAGCGCGCTCTCCTCCCACGCCGGCCTCGCGCTCGCTCCTCCTCCGCGCTCTTTCCGTCACCCCTACTGTCCCCTCCCCCGGTCCCCTCCGGCCCTCCCCCAGCTCCAGAAGAGCGCGCGGCCAGGAGATCGGGCTGGTTACTTCCTCCACCGCGGCGCTGAGCACGGAGTGGACACCACCAAGGCCCGCCAGTCCCCGCCACCGTCCCCGGCCCCGCGCGCCCGGATCGGCCCTACGCCCTCGTCTCGCCCGGCCTCGCGCGCCGGGACCGCCGCGATCTCCTCTCTTCGCCGCCCTCCGGCTGGCCCTGCCCGCTGCGGCGCGGTAAGAGCGGCCCCCGTGCGCGACGGTCCTCGGGAGAGACTCCGCCCGGGGTGGGGTGTAGTGCGGGCGGCCCCTGCTCCGGCCGGGCGATCGCATGCTCCGGAGCGACTCCGGCTGGTTCTTAGGCACCCAGTGGCCTCGGCGGGCGACCTGGGCACCGGGCGGGGCGCGGGCAGCCCGCTTTTGTTTTGGGGAAGCCAGTGGCCGCCCGGTGCGGTTCCTGCTCGGGGCGCGCTACTGCGTTTCTCGAGGGGGCTTGAGGCACCTGGAAAGGTGGCCGAGGTAGCCCCAGGTTCGGGGTGACTTGAGTGGGGGAAGTGCTAGGCCTGGGAGGATATGTGGGTGTCCGGCGCCTGGAACACCTGGCAAGTTGCGGCTCTCGGGAACGTGTCACCTGCTTGGCCAGGTCTGAGCTTCCCTGCGTCCCTGGGAAACCAGCACGGGACACGGTCCAAGTAGGGGCGCTTGTGGCTGCCTGTCTTTATTTTCTCCTTAAAACATATGAATGAAGGAGTAACCCGAAGCGTTTGCGTATTTGACTGTTTTTTTTAATTTATTATTTAATCTCATAAGACTTGTACTAGCTTGCACTCAATTTCAGGGGAGCCTAAAATAGTAGTTGACTCGCTACTTATTTAGAAAGTAAAGCGATGAGCAGTCCTGGTTGGAGACAGGAGTCATGTAATTCACCAGTTGAGAGAGAGACTTGCTCCCTGCTATGGAAGGAAGCTCCTGTGCGGTATCTGCCTGCCCACACTACCGCCAATCGGGAGATACATCTCAGTGTTAAGCTTTTATTAAAATCTGAGTAATCTCGCAGCACAGTTAATGTGAACACCGCGCGTCCCACGGGGAAATAGCCAAGCTCTCATATATGGAATTAGTCATTCACCTCTCTAAACTGATCACTAAGCGAAAAGCAAACCAACCTTCAAGAGGTTTTGTTCTTTTTTTATTTTTTTTAACCTAAATTTACCTAAACACAAATCTATGCTCTCTTATATAAGTGATTACCTGTTTCAGTAAGGATACAGTTATCCATGAAATTCTTGTTACAAAACTTAACTATACTCAGTCATTACATCTCTGCCGTTTTCTCCCATTTCTTGTTACTCTTTTTTTTTAGCCGCCCCCCCACTCCACCCCCAGTACCAAAAGGTCTAAACTTGAAATTGATTTATCTAGAGTCTTGACTTGTCCCAGGGGTTAGCAAGCACATCCAGTAGAATAAATGAACTTAAATTTGATTAGCCGTGTGTCTGCCTGGAGCCATTTAGTAGAGGGCTTTAATTCTACATGGTTTTTTAGAAAACTCATTAAAAGCCAGGCAACAAAGGAACCCTGTTCTGCAGCCGGTAATTACAGCTCTTTATGTGGGAGTGGGGGCCTCCCTTTTCTGCTCCTGTTTGTACACAAAAGGCAGGGGAGCTCTTCTTCGATATCTGAGCTATTCTTTGCCTCTCAGAAGCGAAAAATCAAAATGAAATCCCCAGGTGTCTGTACATTGGAGCGACAGAAAGTGTTGTCGGACAGGCCCTGGATGGACCATGTGGACTCCTCTTGCTCTGTCGCTGGTTTTCTTCGAGAGGCTTGTGTTTAATCAACAGGTTACAGGCCTGACTCCATCCAAGCAGGCACCTTGAAGTTCTCAGTTGGCGAGCATTTCACAGGGCTGAAGTGTGACAGAAAGGCCTGGTTTAATCATAATTCTGTGCTCTCTGCTTCAGTGGGGTGTGGTAGGGAGAGCCCACTCAGGCATCGTCAGGATTTAAGGCCCTACTGATCTGAGGTGTAATCTCCATAGACCCCCATAGGAGTGTGGCCTGGGCCAGTGACTCAGTATCATTGGGCCTCAGTTGCCTCAGAATATGGTGATTTTATGCTTGGAACCTGGATGCTCAGGAGGATTGAGGGAGTGGGACTTGTGTCTTCACATCTGGAGCTAGGCCTTCATTTGTGAGGAATATTGAGCCCTCAGTGAGTATAGCTGAGGTAATATACCAACGGAGAATCTGAACAAATGTGTCGGCTCTGGAGACTGACTGCACAGACCCTGCTGTGACCTTACCAGGATGGTGGCTGCTTCAATTCACCTAAGCTTTTCTGGGCTGCTTTAACCCCAATTTGCATATCTGAGCTTCCAGAAGCCTTCCCCAGGGCCTCTTTCTGCTCTCATTGCCTTTTATCAAGGTGTGAGTGTGTGCACACGTGTGCCCTCGCACATGTCGGTATATGCATGTGAGTATGTGTTTTGTAGGAAATTGTTAAGCCATCTGTCATTGGCCATAATGTCGACTATAAAAAGAACATAAGAAAGAGGGATCAAAGCGAGTTAAATAATTCTTTGAGACTATGCTATCTGCTGCCTCTAGTGAGTTCTATCAGTTGCATGCTAATTTTAGTGACTGTGTGTGGTTAGCAGGTGGGTGCACATGAATGTCGGGGGAGGATGGGGGTGCACACTCCACACCACGGAGCTGTTGAAGGCTCCAGTTCTGTAGCTCGGAGCCTGGAGGAGGGAGCTGCTGACGAGTGATGGTGATCTCTGGTGTGTAGAAGTGAGGTTCGGTGACTGGGTCCGAGTAACACTCTGGTATTGTTGAAGGGCCTTCCTTCATTTAACACGTCACTTGCTAGACTCATAACTACACATTAGGGCCCCAGGAAAAATTTCAGATCACTGCAAGTTACATTTTGTTTTGTTTTGCTTTTCTTCAACGTGCTTAACAAAACGGTCTTAACAGGTCAAATTGATTTTACTCTATTCAGTCAACCTAATATATTCACAACATTATATAAGCACAAAATAAATATCCAAAGTACTGAGACAATTTCCTTTTTCCTACTAGCTCTTGAGATCTGATGTGTATCCTCACTCAGAGCCTGTCTCCCTTCACAGTAGCCATGTTCTGTGCCAGTAGCCACGGTAGCTGGTAGCTGCTTGGTTGGTCAGCCCAGCTCTGGGATATAAGCCCCTATTATTTAAGCAAGGCCTAGCTTCTTGAAGAAATGCAAAACTGTGCTACCCACAAAGGAGAAATGTCCTCAGATGATATACTCAGAGCCCAGGATCTGGGACAGTGTGTGGGGTTGGGTGTTCAGGGCCATGTGCTTCTGCATATCTCAGAGAAGAATGGGTTTGTGTGTGTGTTGGTCTGAGTCCCGTGGGAGCTTCCAAGGCAGGGACCCCCGTGTAGCTTCTTTTAGAGGCCCAGGTTGAATTGACTGCCCTGTGGAGACAGGAGAGGGTGTTTTGTGCCTCTGCTTGGTATATCACCTCAGCTCTTACCTCAGCTGACTATAAGTAGCACAACCTCCTTGCTCAGCTATGCCAGGGTCCAGGGAAGCCCATGGAGTCTCACATCTAAGTGGAACTGTGTGGGACCCCTTCCCCAGACCTTGTTCTCCTTGAGAGCTGCTTGGCCTGGATCCCTTTTAAATAAGAATTCCCAATGGTGACGTCAGCCACCAGTAGTGTTCCATTCGACTAAAGACTGAAGCCACCATCAGTGGTCAATGTTATCTTTAAATGTGCTTCGATAGTAAGTAACCTCTTTGATTCTGTCTCTTTCACTTTTTTCTCAAGATGAATGACTTTGGAATCAAGAACATGGACCAAGTGGCCCCTGTTGCCAACAGTTTTCGAGGGACACTCAAGGTATGTACTTCTTATTTAAATTATCTTGACAGTTTCAGAAACTCCATTAGTAAGGAGGGAAAAGCCCATGGCCCTGGGTTGTAGATATCTTAGCTATGTGGCTCTGATAAAATTGTATACTCTCTTTGAGCCTCAGTTTTCTGTGCTGTCAAATAGGTATCTTGATGCTAGTTGTACCTGTTCTCAAGATTTGAAAGAAGTTCATTTGTAGATGAGTTCATCCCCAGGCTCCTTTCAAATGGGAAAAACAAGTCCCATGATTCTTTTTCTTTTTTTTTTTTTTAATTATTTAATGTACGTGGGTATGCTGTCACTCTTCAGACACACCAGAAGAGGGCATCAGATCTCATTACAGATGGTTGTGAGCCACCATGTGGTTGCTGGGAATTGAATTCAGGACCTCTGGAAGCACAGTCAGTACTCTTAACCACTGAGCCATCTCTCCAGCCCACATCCCATGATTCTTAAAGAAAACAGCTGGAAAGATTGTTTCTGTATTTCCGTGGCTGATCAAGAAGGCTGTTTGTTTCTGAACTTCCTTTATCTGTGTCTGTGCACATGCACCATGATACACACACAGAGACAGGAAGATGGTTTGTGAAAGTCAGTTCTCCCTTTACTTTCACCGTGGAGGTCCTGGGATTTGAACTCAGGTCACCAGACTTGGCCCCGAGTGTCTTCACTGGTCAGCATCATCATTCCCAGAAGGCTGTTTGACTTAAATGAAGAAGCTGAAGAGTAGGCATCTTGTGTTACTTCCTTCAGGAGGGGATGCATCCACCTGGGTAGGGGGAGCCTGCTCTGTGTGCTGCAGCAGCCCAAGGATGTTTATGCAAACCCCAAACAGACTAAAGACAGAGCTGGCTCCCCTGTGGAAACCCTTCCATGTTGTGTCTGTGACATGTTGTCAACTCCTTTTGTTTGTTTGTTTTGTTTTTGTTTTTTGTTTTTTCGAGACAGGGTTTCTCTGTATAGCCCTGGCTGTCCTGGAACTCACTCTGTAGACCAGGCTGGCCTTGAACTCAGAAATCCACCTGCCTCTGCCTCCCAAGTGCTGGGATTAAAGGTGTGTGCCACCACCGCCCGGCTTTGTCAACTCCGTTTGGAACACTCTTGTAGCATAAACTGGTCATTTCTTGTGTGAGGGTGTGTGGTATGTGTGTGTGTGTGATGTGTTTGTGTGGTGTGTATGCATATGTGTGTGGGGATGTGTATGGTAGGTATCTTTGTGGTGTGTGTAAGTGTGAATGTGTGGTGTGTGTATATATTTGTATATGGTGAGTGTGTGTGTATGTATGGTGTGCGTGCGTGTGATGTGTGTGTGTGTGTGGTGTATGTGTGTAGTGAATGCGTTTGTGAGTGTGTGTGGTGGTTGTATATGTGTGTGAGTATGGTGTTACTGTGTGTGTGTGTGTGTGTGTGTGGTAAACAGGCCAGTGATAAGTGTCTTTCTCTATTGCGTTCCATTTTATTTTTGAGACAGCATCTCTCACTGAACCTGTTGCTCATCAGCTAGTCTTGGCTAGGAACCCTGTCTCTGCTTTCCTAGTGCTAGGATTACTAAACTACAGCACAGTCTCTAGTGTTGGCTCTTGCTTAACTTTGTTTTTGGGTTTTTTTGTTTTTTGTTTTTTTTCGAGACAGGGTTTCTCTGTGTAGCCTTGGCTGTCCTGGAACTCACTCTGTAGACCAGGCTGGCCTCGAACTCAGAAATCCGCCTGCCTCTGCCTCCCAAGTGCTGGGATTAAAGGCATGCGCCACCACCGCCCGGCTTTTTTTGGTTTTGTTTTTTGCTTTTTTCAAGACAGGGTTTCTCTGTGTAGCCTTGGCTGGGCTCTTGCTTAACTTAACCTCGTCTTTGTAACAGGGTCCCTTGTTCTCTGCCTGCTGGCCCCAAGTTTTTTTTTTTTTTTTTTTTTTAAACTTTTTTATTTTATTTTATTTTATTTTATTTTATTTTATTTATATGAGCATACTGTAGCTGTCTTCAGACACTCTGGAAGAAGGCATCAGATCCCATCAGATGGTTGTGAGCCACCATGTGGTTGCTGGGAATTGAACTCAGGACCTCTGGAAGAGCAGTCAGTGCTCTTAACCACTGAGCCATCTCTCCAGCCCCATGGCCCCAAGTTTTTAAAGGTTCTCCTGGGTGCCTTCCTAGCACACTGGCGTCACAGCCAAGGGGTCCCCCATGCAGCCTTGTGTGGGTTCTAGGGATCCTAATGCATGTGCTCACACTTACCTAGCCAGTTCTTTCCCCACTCCGCCTCCCCCCTGGGGGGGGCGGGCCCCCCCGCAACCCTTTCTCCCTAAACCATTTTTAAGGTTGTGTGTCTGGTGTAAACTACAGAGGCAGAACCTGGCACCCGTCCTTCTGTTTGGTTTAGTCACGTGCCTTCAGCGGGGCAGAAATGGTAATGGCGTAAGGACTTACTGTGATGGTACAGAAGCTACACACAACCCCAAGAAAAAAAGCCCTTTGTAAACTGAGAGAACTCGCTGACGTCTGGTTTCAGAGAAGACGTTCTTTGCCAGAGTCTGTGTGGAAATGTGTAGTGAGGGTTTGTGCTGCTCTTACTTCCTGATTTTAAAAGAAGAACTTCTGGAGAGACACTTTCTAGAAGCCTGGGGGGAGGGTTTTGTTTTTGTTTGGTTTGTTTGTTTGTTGTTGACATCTACTTGATATTTCACCCAAATCATCCCTGCATAAAATCCTAGGACCGTCCAGTTGAGGTTTTCACACTCCTCAGTGGGCCTTCCCTCCCAGGTAGCTGGCAATCCTGCGGGGCTGAGGATTTGGGGCTGGGGCTGGCAGCCTGTCTGTCCTCTTGTGCAACAGGTCTGTTCCTCGCTCTTCTGTGTTTCTGGAATGAAGGCACAGTGTCTGGCTGGTTTATTTGTAAATGTGTTACACATTTTGCTCTCCCATGACTCAACATGTGGGTCATTGTGTTACACACGATGTAGGATTTCCAGGTTATGTTGGGAAATAGAACTTTTCTTCACGTTTCCTAACAAGCCAGGCTGGGGTGGACCGGCCTTGCCTGCACTCATGCTCCTCCCATTCAGGGCTGCTGCATTTCGTAAACATGGAGTCTGAGATCATGAGCCGTCCACACTTCCAGGGCCTTATGTGTGTATCTGAGTTTTCCTGAAAGATGCCTCTGAGAGCCTCCCTGTGGTTAAAGTTTCTACAATCTTTTTTTTATTTTTTATTATCATGGAAAATATTAAGGTTGTTTTTCACAGATTACTATTGTCTGAACCACTTTGTGGTGAGGAGGAATTCCCTACTTCAAAGGAGCCTTCCAAAGATAAAAATAGCTTGTTATTGTTTCAATTTCCCGTTTCTTCCCAGCCTTTCCTTTTTATTTGAATTTTATGACACCAAAACCCTTTGTCAGCTCAGGTTTTTCTTTTCCTACACACCCAATCTGACGAAAAGCCGTCTTGGTCTTCTCTGAAGACTTCTCAGTATGGTCCTAAGATTCTGCCATTTTTAGATGTATTTCATTTATTAAGTTGATTGTGCTGATAAAATAATCTTCCAGGCCATCTGGCCCTATGAGGTTAATTAAAGAGTGTAGAGTGAGGTAGAATTGTTTGGATTACTTTGAGGTCATTGGCCTGCGTTACCTTAGAATGGCTGATGTCATCAGGACCCATGGCAGGGTTACTGTTGAACCACTATGAAAACACAAGTGAGTTCACGTGGCATTTCTCTTTCTTTTCCACAGCGCCAGCCAGCCTTTGACACCTTTGATGGCTCTCTGTTTGCCATGCTCCCTTCTCTCAGTGAAGAGCAGACACTCCAAGAAGTGCCCACAGGCTTGGATTCTGTCTCCCATGGTAATTTGTTCTCCACCCTGACAGATGGTGCACAGCTTCCCTCGGCAGCCGGGTTAATAAAGACATAATCAGTTAATAGAGATAGACCTTTCTCCAGCCAAAAGTATCGATATCTTGAATATTGGGTATGAGAAGTCTGATCAATTGGACCACCTGGGAGAAAGTGGTTTTCCTCTTGTGTGAGTGAACTGGTCATTCTGGTGTCTTCACAGGAAATTCCCACCTGTGAGCAGAGACCTGTCACTCACGGTTTGGAACTCTTGAGAGTTGTGCTTTGGTGTTTTCAAATACTTGCTCATCTCCCTGGTGTCTTTTTCAAATAGAAGGTAGTGGGTATTGAAATGTGTCCCAGTTGACACACACGCACACATGCACACACATGTGGGTACACACGTGCACACACGTGGACATGCACACTCACACACACCTTTCCCTTTGAGTTTTGAGACCACAGATTCCTTTTGCTCCTCTTAACCCTTTAGTAGTAGTTCTGGTTGCCTTTCTTTATCCCCGTCAAAGGCCAAGCACATCACATCCGTCTCTACAGTTACTTCATAAAGTGAATGGCTGGACACCTTCCAGGTCGACTTGTCATATATGTGAAGTGGGTGCTCAAGCACACAGCCCACAGAGATCAATTAAAGCTCCCGTGCTTTCGTAAGTGCAGTGCCGTCAGGCAGTCATGTATCATTCCCGAAATTTCTGAAAGCATCAGAAATGTTTCTTTCCCAGAAACATTGTGGGTGCGCCTGTTTTACCGTGCAGTGTTGACTGCAATGGACATGCCAGCCTTCCTTTGCCAGCAGCTTAGCTTACTGGACACAGCTCCCGTCAGGCAAGGTCACTGAAGACAGCCAGGGACGATCCAGCCTTTTGACATTGCAACCTGACATTGTCATCTACAGTGGCCACGCTTGATAACCATGCAGTCAAGTTACAGAAATAAAGCCTCGTGCTTTGAATACGTCTGACAGTTCTGTGTTGGGCTGCATTCACGGCGGTCCTCCACTGTGCACAGGATGCAGCCTGCAAGGCTGGACACTTCTGAAGCGTTTTGAACAGAAACTGTAAAATTTAAAATTTTTAAATACATTTTAGGTAGGAATGTTGTCTGCGGATCTCTGCTTTATGAAGCTTTGCAAAATATTTAATATTTGTTTTAAAATATTAATTTAAAATATTTAATTTTTGTTTTAAAATTCAACACACACACATACACACACACAAGAGAACTTTGCCAGGCTCACTTGGGACTCACTGTGTAGCCCAGGATACCTCATTAGTCTCCTGTCTCTGTCTCCCAAATGCTGGGATTACAGTTGTGTACCACCAAACTCATTTTTATTCTGGATTTTTCTTTCTATAATTGGAGTAATTTTAAGAGTTCTGAGAAGCACAGTTGGTTTTGGTTCCTAATGTGTTTGCTTACTTTTTAAAAAAGGAAAAATAGCATGCCAAATTATATAATCTCCTTGATTACTCTGATAGAGTATACTTTTAAAAAAATCTTTCCTTGTTTGCTTTTTGAGTTTCCTTTTTGGTAATACTGGGTATAGAACGTACTGCGTGCTAGGCACTCAAGTGGCGGGTGGCACCCCAGCCCCGCAGCTGGATTCCGTTAAGGAATCATCTCAAGATTTGTGCTCAAGGTTCTCTCTGATAAGTGGGCTGGGCTTATCCTAAGCTTCTGTCGACTTTGCCACCTGAGTCCTCACGTCCCTGTGGTCTCTCTCTAGACTCAGCCAGCTGCGAGCTGCCTTTGCTCACTCCCTGCAGCAAGGCGGTGATGAGCCAAGCCTTAAAAGCCACCTTCAGTGGCTTCCACAAGGAGCAGCGGCGTCTTGGCATTCCCAAAAGTAAGTGCTGGGCTTTGAGGCTGGTGAGTCCCTGGAGGATGCGAGTGTGGGACCTGTTTGGCTGGGCCTGTCTTTAAAATGCTCCTGGTTGTCTTGCAAGAAATGTAGCCTCCTTGAGCCTGTGGCCTGCTACATACATAACCCCCCCCCCCACACACACACACACACACACTCATTAAACACCAAGTGCCATTGGCGGCTTAGAACATGTCTGTGTCATGGCAGAGTCGTGTCTTCTTAATTCCCTGATTTGGGGCTGTCTGGGCTTGGTGAATTGTTGAGGGCCACGTGCCCTCCCAGCCTTCCAGATGTTCACTGGTCATGTCCTCTCCCACCCTCCCTGCACAGACCCCTGGCTGTGGACCGAGCAGCAGGTGTGCCAGTGGCTGCTCTGGGCCACCAACGAGTTCAGCCTGGTGAATGTGAACCTGCAGCGGTTTGGCATGAATGGCCAGATGCTGTGTAACCTCGGCAAGGAGCGCTTTCTGGAGCTGGCGCCTGACTTTGTGGGTGACATCCTCTGGGAACATCTGGAGCAGATGATTAAAGGTAAGGTACAGGACTTGGGAGGCGGGGACCCAGGGAGCAGGAAGGTGTACCCTTCCACTTGAGGCTGCCCAGTGCTAGAGTCCATTGCCTCAGAACATCCCCAAGCAAGTCAAACAGGGAGGTGATGATGGGTCTTCATTCCATGGAGGGAAGCGTGTACAATGTTCGTGGAGTGCCAGGTGTAGCCACAAGGCAATAGCCTGAGTCACCAAATTGCTGGCTGTTGCCAGGCTGTACTGGTTGTACCAGCTCAGAGCACCTTGGATATGTAGGCCAGCGAGGGTGCCAGGTGGGTGAACTCACTAGGAGGACTGAGAGAGACAGGGTTGCCTGAATGTAAGGCAACATGCGCAGACCATTGCAGATTTGGTAGGAAGTGACTCCAGTCCACTGAGGATTTTGGAGAACGGGCTGTAACTGATCGACAGCTGATCGACTTGTGTATACACAGAAATGTTAAAAGCAGACGCCAGACTCAGAAATCTCACCAAGGCTAGACACTCTCTTATCACCAGCCTTAAAGATCAGTGAGGCCTGCTTAAACGATACCTGGGTTTAAATGGGGGACAGCGGCAGTAAGACTAACTAACATTAAAACAAGCAAACAAAAAAGTTTAGTACCATGGCTAAACTTACAACATATAAACTCAGAATTTCATTTGGGGTTCTGCTGCCAGGCTGGTTTATTGATGTTTCCTAGAGCCAAGAAAATCACCTTTAAAGACCCCTGATTCCTAGGGAGCATAGACTGGGCTTACCCAATGCGTTTCTGGGCAAGTCTAGCCTCTGGGGCTTTTGTTCTGTGTGTGTGTGTTTGTGTTGCTTGGCCTCAAGGAATGATATGTGTGGTCGTGTGTTCCTAGTAGTTACTTACACAGAACACACTTTCCATGTGGACCTCGGAACATCCCAGACTAACCTGTAGAGGATGTGAGACCTCACAGAGGGCAGGAACCAAATCCATTTCTGTCACCCAAGGTTTTCCCAGCCCCAGGACAGATGGTTCTTCATAAACACAGGAATGAAGTGAACACACAAACCAGGCTGTTCTAGACAGTGACATCACTGATTTTGGAAAACTTACCCCAGATCATTAGAAAAATGTCTTGTAATTTTAAACATAAGAGGACTGAACCGAAATGGAATGTGAAGTACGGGTGTTGGGGCGAGTCGTCCCGGTGTCCACAAGACAGGAAGTCGAAATATGGCTCTCCTCGTAGAGTTTTCAAACTGTATCTTCCCTCTTTTTCAGAGAACCAAGAGAAGATGGAAGACCAATATGAGGAAAACTCACACCTCAATGCAGTTCCTCATTGGATCAACAGCAATACATTAGGTCAGTCAGGTGATTGTGCCTTAAGATCTCTGGTTTTGGTCTTTCCAGTTCCTCAGGTAGCCTAGACCTTCACTCTTCCTGTGGTGGCTCCATCCACTAAGCAGCCGAAATATGGCAGGTCCACGTGAAATGTGCCATGAGAATCTAAGACTCTGACTAACTCAGAGGTCTTAAAATGAAACCAAGAACATGCACTATTCCTTGATGAGTTAGGATGCTTTTTATATATTGAGGTGACCACTGCTATGCTGAGTCAGTTGTTCCTTGACTCTCTTATGTAGCCCCTGGAAAACTAAGCATTGCTTAAGTGGCTCCTATAATCTCTAAGAGACAACACTGCTCTAGACCATTTTAACCGTAAAGAGAAAGAAGTCAGTAGACACTAATGTGATGTGACAGAGGAGGTAGCCAGAACAAACGTATAGAAAACTCACTATCCCTGGACTCTTGGCACCGGATACCTATCAGAGAATGGGGTCCTCTGTGTGTGGGTCTAGCTATTGAAATACTGACTGACTCTGACGTCTGATGTCTGATTCATCCTTGTGTTCAGGCTTCGGCATGGAGCAGGCTCCATATGGAATGCAAGCACCGAGCTATCCCAAAGACAGCCTCCTGGACAGCATATGCCCGCCGTCGGCCACGCCTGCAACTCTCGGCTCTGAACAGGAGCTCCAGATGTTGCCCAAGTCTCGGCTCAACACCGTCAGTGTCAATTACTGTTCCATGAGCCAGGACTTCCCTGGCGGCAACTTGAATTTGCTCAACAACAGTTCTGGTAAGAGAATGTTCTAGAATAAGGTTATTGGTTTGTCCTGGAAGCCAGTCAGGATGAGAGATGCTTGGTAAGCACATCCTGTCTTTGCCCATTGGAGAAGGAGGTTAAAGGTCTGGGCCACCTTCCAAGTGACTTCCCAAAACGCAGACTCACAACCTGTTTGAAACCCCGGTCCAGTCTGGGTTCTGTCGGTATCAAGTGAGCAACACTGAGTAGCTGGAGGACTTTAAGCTAACTTCTTCATGGTGGAGTACTCTCCTGAGACACATGGGAATATGCTAGGTTTCTTTTAAAGGATGTAACATACATGGTCCACACATCTGAGATTATACATCCGGTTGAATTAACGGGGCTGTGTACTCCCATGTTAACCGCCATCCACACGGAGCCAGAGTTTCTAGCCATCTATAAGGTTTCTTCCTATCCCTTCCCAGCCCTCTTTATAAGAGCGACCCATTTTCCTTTGTGTCAACACAGACTGGCTTTCGCCATCCTGAGATGTCACACGTGGGTTTTGGCTGACTGTCTTTGGGGTTTAGAGTCTTGAGTTTTATCTGTATTGTAGCATTTGCTCTTTCTTGTAATCTTAAGAGTGTTTTACCACATGATGTTACATTTTATCCATTCTTCCCTTGGTGGAAGGTTGTTATTTGCATATAAAGTTGTCCAAGAAATTAGCGCCTGAGTTTAAGAGTGTTCAGATGGGGCCTGAATGATGCTGTACCAGCCATGTGTATAGCTGCTTTGGGGGTGGTTGGTGGAGATGCAGAAGTTAGGATCTCAGTGCTCCTTAATTGATGACCCACGGGTACTGGCTCTTCTTATATCCTGGAGGGGGTCTCAGCATTGTTTGGTTGTTTTTACCAGGAAAACCCAAGGACCATGATTCTCCAGAGAATGGTGGGGACAGCTTCGAAAGCTCCGACTCGCTGCTGAGGTCCTGGAACAGCCAGTCGTCCCTACTGGATGTGCAGCGGGTACCTTCCTTCGAGAGCTTTGAGGAGGACTGTAGCCAATCTCTGTGCCTCGGTAAGCCGACCATGTCCTTCAAGGACTACATCCAAGAGAGGAGCGACCCAGTTGAGCAAGGCAAACCAGTTATTCCTGCAGCAGTACTGGCCGGCTTCACTGGTAAGTGACTACTCAGGGCCCCAGTGGGCTCCTATGTGACCACAGCACCCACCACACTTGCCCAGGCCTTGTCCCAGTTTGCCTGTGATATTCACACTCTGGGGCTCGCTGTACACAAAGCTTATAGAGCCAGGTTCTCAGAAGTTTTCATGTTAGGATCTGGGGGGTGGGGGAAGATCCCAGGCCACACCCTCTACCTGGGATGGGAGGTGGAGAGGTAGGAGGTCAGACAGACTCTGGTCCTGGCTCTGACTCATACTCTGGATCTCCAGGAATGTAAACTGGCCTGGGGAAGGGCAGAAGCTGGCTCAAGGGATGCCAGCACTGTTTACCCCTCTTGGCCTCCAGAACCATCCCAGAGAGGACGAGGGAGCTCTTCTAGGCAGAGAGCAAATCTTAAAGCTGTTTTTAGAACCACACAATTTCAAAACTGGGGCAAAAATATCAAGAATGTTCGTTTTCTTTCCTCCAGATGCCTTTAAAATAGATTCTCTTTCCGTATGCTGGCCACAAGAAACCACTGTGTATTTTAAAAACCCACTTTTAAAGATACGAGATTAAAATGAGGATGTAGGGATTTTCTTTTCATTGTCAAAAACAAACGGCTACATATATATAAATTCATAAAGGGGTTTGAATCTATGGCTGTTCTGATACCTAGGAATCTAAGAACTGTTAAGAAAACCCCACAGCATTTGGAGTGTCTCCCAGGATGGTAGTTGAACTGGCGTTTGGTGGTTAGCCCCGTGGTGTTAGCGTGGGTAGTGTGAAAATCCACTGGTGAACCCATTCAAAGGTGACAAGTCCAAGTGGTCACAAAGCCTTTTATATCTGAGGGGAAGGTGACAGCTTAGGATCAGATCTCGGTTTTCCTTCCCTAAACTGACAGGCACCCAAGACAAGTTGCTGTACATTTTTAAGAGAGACAGGGCTACAGCGAGCCTCTCTCTCAGAGTGGTGGTTCTGAGTGCCCGTGCAGCAAAGGCAGACACTTGTCAGTGTAGGTCACCCCTGTGTATTCCATGTAGCAAGTCTCATAGTACAGCTTGCTTCTGGTCATGAGGGATGGACCTTTGATAAAATGGCCCTGGTGTCCCCACCCCAACCCCACTGGGCATTTTCAGATATAAACTTTTAAGGCTCTTGTACAGGAAAGCCTTAAACATCAAGAGGGTTAGTGCTGATGAGAGTTGCTGGTTCTGTATCTTCCTCCCAGAAGGACAAATACGGTAGCCGAGGTAGAGTCTTGGCTAAGCCATCCTCTGGCGAGAATAGTGTGTTGAGAACAGTGGCTCCTCTCCATTACAGTGTTTACTGGGTGCTCCCCGAAGCCCCACCTAATCAGTTAGCACAAGGCCCAGTAGGGCCATGCTCTAAAGGCAGGCTGGTCACTGAGAGGGTCAGATTCCTGATGATCTCAGACTCCCCGTGTAACCTGCCTCTCTTTACCCCAGGAAGTGGACCAATCCAACTGTGGCAGTTTCTTCTGGAGCTACTCTCTGACAAATCCTGTCAATCTTTCATCAGCTGGACGGGAGATGGATGGGAGTTCAAGCTCGCTGACCCTGATGAGGTACGGCCGTTGGCACTCTCGGTCTCAATCCATCACGTTGGGTTCTAAAGCCAGCCCTGAGTACAAGGAAAGCCAACAAGAGCCCTCCTCCACCAGGAATCCCTGGCTCTTAGGCAGAACTGCAAGCCGCTGCCTCGTGGACCAATGGGTTTGGTGTTCATTGGGCAATGCCTTCCTCTGGAGACATTGTCTGTCAGAGGTCTCTGGTGGCCCTCAGCAAACTGTAGGGGGAGCTTGCCTTTGTTCCTAGTTAGTCAGAGCACATAGCCCAGCAGCCTTCAGGGTTGGAATTGAGGCTCCCCGCTGGAGAAGGCTTTGGTAGGCCTGATGCCAGCGATCCAAGTAATCTGTCACCCTCTCTGTGTCTGGGGGAATGAGCATGGCTCATGGGAATAGTCTCTTCAGCTATCACATGGCTTGAAATGTGTCTCAGCCGGCAGAGTGGTTGCCTAGCTTGCGCGCAGCCGTGGGTTCCATCCCCAGTGCCACAGAAATCTGGTAATCACAGTACCTTGAGTGAGGGCGAGGCTGGGATGGGGAGCAGAAGCTGGAGAATGAGAATTTCAAGGTCCTCCTCAGGGTGAGCACCTGGGGTTAGGGGAGCCAGTCATGATCCAAGAGAGGACATAGGTGACTCTGACCTTTCTCTGTCTCCCCAAAGGTGGCCCGTCGGTGGGGAAAGAGGAAAAATAAGCCAAAGATGAACTACGAGAAGCTGAGCCGGGGCTTACGCTACTACTATGACAAAAACATCATTCACAAGACGTCGGGCAAGCGTTATGTGTACCGTTTCGTGTGCGACCTGCAGAACTTGCTGGGCTTCACTCCGGAGGAACTGCATGCCATCCTGGGCGTTCAGCCTGATACAGAAGACTGAGGTCCTCAGGACCACCCTGAGCCAGCCCCGGGCCTGGGGACTGAGTGGGAAACCCGTCCTGACCCACTTGCTCCAAAGACCCCTGGGAGAGCAGGATGGGACCCCTTTGGGGAGAGCCACCAAGCAGCAGTGGTCTTTCATCTCCCCGCCTCTTCCACAAGCCAACGCCCCATGGTGGAAACCGACACAGCTTCTCTGTCCTGTGTGAGTCCCCCAAGGGAAGAGTCTCTGGGAAGCCACCGTGGCACGGAGCAGGCCGTGTGCAGATCACAATAGTTGTGGCTATTTGAGATGCTTCAGGGAGCCAGCATGTGGTGGATACACAGACACTGAAAAACATTGTTTTTCCTTTGGCCTTTTGCCACCAGGAGTAGCAAATGCAAAAGCCACCTCCACTTGAGAGGGCCAGGCAAGTGGAAGGGAGTGATTGTTCCATTTCAGAAGTCAGTTTGTTTGTACATATTATTGTATCTTATAATTGTCCGAATCCTCCAACAGTTCTATTTAACAGAAATTGTATATTGTATTTAAAGTAATTATAACTTGTCTGAATCAAGAATGCAGATACTTGATAGGTTATCCATTTTTGTTTTTTGTTTTGTTTTGTTTTCACTAGTACATAGGAATGTCATTTTACACGGATTTAATCTCTTAGGGACCAACTGAGAGAAATCATAATGTTTTTGTTTTATTTACCAGCAGGAATGGGGTCTGAAGGATGATCCTGGTTTTTACTTTTGTTCTGTTGTTAATGTTGTTCATTATCTGACCAGGACTTTGTATATTGGGTTGGTTTTTTGTTTTGTTTGTTTTTAATAAGAAACTTAATGTTATTATTTGAGGGTCCATATGGCCTCTCCACTCTCCTGGACTGTAAAAGCTGTAAAGCAGTGTTTTTCTTGACAAATGGCACATGTTTTCCACTTCCCTGCATGCCTTAAGCCAGTTTATACGCAAATGTATTTTATTTTTTGGCATAACTGTGTTTTCCAGGCAACTCCCCTGCCCCTAGCCAGTCCTTCCCTTCCTTCGCCCCAAGGTATTCTGTGTGACTACAATAAGAAGACTATTTTTGGAAATATATGACTCCTTTTCAGATATCAGAAGGGATTTATGTAGCAGCTATTTTTACTGCAAAAGTAACTCACTGGAAAAAAAAATTGCAATTTGTACGAAAGCTTTATTTTTATCTTAGTCATGTAAAGAGAGATGTGTGGGGCAGGGCTGAGGCCAATCAGGAGGGATCTTCCGTCAGCTTTGACCTTAAATGAAGCGTGGTGCTTCCTGGCTCGCTGACCTGCTATGTCTCTTACCATCCGGGCTGCATGCTCCTCTTTCTGCTCCGTGTGCTCAGAGAGTTTGCTCTTCTTTTTTTTTTTTTTTTTGGCCATGGATACCCAGAAGCACAGACAGGGCAAGCACGCTGGGGAACGGTGTGTTGGAGCAGTTTGTAGGAGGTTCTTATCTGGTGAAGAGTTAACTTCACCGTGAGACCCCACACTCTCATCCAGTTGTATGGTTTCTTAAAGTGCACGGGCATCGCCATTTACCAGCATGGTGGCCTCTGACCAGCAAGTGACATTGATAAAAAGCCCTTATATCATAAGACCCCACAGGGGACACAGAACCAGCTGGGACCTGCTTTGCCAGCGCTGGGATGTCTTGGCCTGCATGCCCGAGATAAATGCTTTGTGGTTAAGCACGGGAACCTGTTTGTTGCCGGGACATCTGTGTGTAATATAAACAGACATGGGACTAGGAACATACTCTCGTCAGAAGCTTAATTCTCGGTCAGTTTATATATGGTCGAGCCACATGAAACTGCCAAGTTTAACCCGAGTTTTGTCAGCTGAGATGACGGTTTTACATGGTTGAATCTAACAGTCATGGACGTCTTCAGAAGTCTTTGGCGTGGTCTTAAGTATGAAGGTTTTGTAATTTGGCCTCCTCTTTCTCAAATAAAGTATTTGGTTTATGATAATGCCTCTTTGTAATATTGGCTCCTTGCAATACTCCTCCCTCTCCAGTCCCCACAACAAAGGAGGTAGATGAGGATTTGAACTCATTCCACACCCTCATCTGCATGACATGAAAGTCCAGTCTATAGCTCATTAGTCTAGAAACAAGATGGAATCCACTGAGCCCTTCCTTGAGGAATTAGAATAACAAAACAAAACTGTTTATAGTGAAAAATCTACCTGGGAAAGGATTGTAATAGAGGTTTGGAGAGAAAAGAGATGTTAGGAAGCATGTGTGAGATGCTGAAGCCTGAAGTTGAAGCATCTTTGTCATTTGAGGCCATGGCGCCGTGTCCCTCGCTGGAGTTCGGATATCAACGAGATGACAATGTGTCTGATAGTCTCAGGGTGCATCCTCTGGCTCCCAGGAGATGCCCACAAAGATACTGAGAAACCACACCCATGCCTCCTCACAAGTCTCCCAACTGTGACAGTATTAACACTCAGCAGGGACTTAAATTAGTGCCCCATATCCTCCAGGGAGCTGGTGGCAAACACCTGCAAAACACCTGCTGGTTATTGTATTACAAATTACATTTTTAAAAGTTAAATCAGAGCAAGAGAGATTAAGAGCATTTGTTGCTCTTGCAAAGGACCTAGGTTTGGTTCCTAGCACCCACCTGGAAGCTCACAACCATCTATAACTGCAGTTCCAAAGGATGCAACACCCTCTTCTGTGGCAATGCAAGCATGTAGCGTACACACATGCAGACAGGTTTTTTTTTTTTTAATGTTTATAGTTTTCATTTCAAAATCACATCTATTAGCCTAATAGCACTTAGGATTTTTTTTCAATTATAGCATTGTTTCCTATGTTTATGCATCTCATTAATATTTGAGCTCTTGTGTCTTGAATATATGAAGAAAGTCAGACCTAACATTCATAATCAAATCAAGGAATACTGCTCAATAGCTGTCAGGTATTGTGGTTATTCTATATGATAGACATGGTTACAGACATGGTTATAGGACATGGTTACAGACATGGTTATAGGACATGGTTACAGACATGGTTACAGGACATGGTTACAGACATGGTTATAGGAGGTGAACTGTGCTCAGATGAAGCCATAGAATAATTTATTGTTACTGTGTTCTACAGTATCTGTCTATTTTAAACCCTTGTCCATGTATGATTTTGTAACCTGCATTCATTATTTGCAAAATACCTCTTCAAGTGATAACACAGGTTAGCAGATACTGTCAAAGGGTTTCTGGACTTAATATCACTGCTGCCTTTACAGAAAAGCTCCAAGAAGTTACCAGGCTCACAGTCACAGATACAAATTCTTAAACATTGAGAATTCAACCTTTTATCATCAACAACCATCTTTTCCTAATTCATTTTCTTTGAAAGTGTGAAGATTTTCTCATTTAATTCTGAGAAACAATCAGCCAAATATCCATGGTCAGATAGAGTTTGCCAGTTGTTCTTTCAGGTAAAAATAAATAAATAAATAAATAAATAAATAAATAAATAAATAAATAATAAAAAATAAAAAAGTAGTTGGATGAAGCAGTTAGTTTAGCTGGCAACTCAAACATGGCTACACTTCCTTGGGGCAGTAACCATGCTTTATTCAGAATGCAGCAGACTTCTATTACAGAATTGAAAATAAGTCTGTTCTGTGAGCAAATGAATCTTAACTGCTTTATCTAATTCATTCTTACATGTGACTTATTTTGTGAGGAGCATTCTTTTTTTTTCACAGTATAGTGAAGAAAGCAATTGACAACCTGCTCCCACCTCTGAAAAGACACCTGGGATTCTTAATAATTTTTGTGTTTGCACCAAAGCTAATGTCAACACAGTTAATAAGAGTAAATAGTTACACAAGGTTTTACATCAGGAACCTGAGGACCATGCTTTGAGAGCCATTCTGGAAAGGAGAGATGCTTACATAGAATAAAAAGGATAGAGTATTTCAGAGGTGGGAAAATGAGCTCTGGGCCCCTGGAACCCACTTTCCTTGTCTCCATCACACCCCTCCATAGTTAATAAAGACACATTTTTACTTAAATATTTGAAACCTCCTCTTTCTTGTTCCTTCATGATGCACCACTCCAATTCTAAACCTTCTAAGAAAAATAGTATATTTTACCACTTATTTTTGACAGTTCTGAATCATACTAGATTATAATTATCTGTTTAATAAAAGTGTTACTTTTTATTGTTTAAAATACTTGAGATAATCTATTTATAAAGAAAAAAAGCTTTGTTTGGGATCACAGTCTGGGCAGTAGCAATCTGTGGTCAGCTGACCACCTGGCTGCATTGCTTTGCATCTGTGGTGAGGGAATGTTTCATGGTGCCAGCTTTTGGTACAACAGAACTGTGTGCCTTTTAACCAAAGAACAGAAGAGAAAGATGAGGCCAGAGTTTACAATCCCCTTCAAAGGTGTGTTCCCGTGATCTGAAGATCCCTGAAGAGTTCTCACCAGGCTCTAATGGAGATCAAGCCATGGAGATCATACATAGACATCTGAGGACATTCAAAGATCAACCTATAGCAACATGATGATATGATTCTAAGAACTGTCTCTAGGGAACTGGGAGGTAGCTTTGCAGGAAAAAGGCACTTGCCTCCCAAACCCTGATGACCAGAGTTCAATCTGCAGAACCCACATCAAGAGAGAACCAACTCCTAAAAGCTGACCTCTGACCTCCACACAAGTGCTATGGCATATACGCACAATAAATCAATTAAAGTTTTAAAAATGTTAAAGCTTTTTAAAAAATCATTTCCTTGTGATACTAGGAATTGAAAACAGGGTTCTACATTTACTAAGCAAACACTGTACACTGAGCTGTGTCCCCAGCTCTTGAATTATTTAGAAAAATACTTCTAGGTACATTGTCTTTTTAAAAAAATTCTAATATTTTCTTTAAAGGTACAAGAAAATGATGTGTGGGTTTTCCTACATAACTACAAAATATCTGCTCCAAGCCCACTAATGAATCTGATGAATCAACAACACTTTCATTATAAGGTAATTAGTTATTTGTGGAGATACCATCAGTTCAGATGTTTTCTATGTGTGACTGATTTCAATTTGATATCATTTTTATAAAATTTACCCAATAAAGAAAAGAGAACATATATATGTAGAAAAGTCATCATTTCTTTAACATTTTTATTACATTTATAGAAGACACACACATGAGAGAGAGAGAGAGAGAGAGAGAGAGAGAGAGAGAGAGAGAGAGAG